AGCCGCCTCTGCTGCACTCTTCCGCCTCCTTTCGGTATTTGGCGATGATTCGCTCTTCAACGAGGCCGAGATCAACGAGGATTCGGCCGCAGATCGTCGATTTGCCAGCATCGACGTGGCCGATGAACAGGATGTTCAGGGCTGATTGGGGTGGATCAGTGGATACGGTCACTGTATTGAATTGATTCAGTTGAATGTGACTCAATTTAGATGAAAGTGTTTTACTAGTCATAAATATAGGGGGGTAAGGGAAGGAAAAGATAGTAAGGGTAGTTAGTAGGGTGATAATAAATAGGGTGATAGTATTAGGGTGATAATATTAGGGTAGTTAAGTTACTAGGGTAGTTATAGGGTGATAATAGGGTAGTAAGTTATTAGGGTGATAATAGGGTAGTTGAGTTATTAGGGTAGTTATGTTATTAGGGTAGTAATAGTTACTAGGGTAGTAGTAGGATAGTAAGTGTAATATACTAAAATGGGGACAAACTACTGTATATACTTAGATACATCCAATTTAACACACTCTTATAGGCTAGGATACAGGACTACAGGAGTTACACTTAAAAGAGTATAGGCTACTATTGTTACTATTATATTTACTGCTACTTCTTATATCACTAACTACCCTACTACTACAGTTATTGTTGCTACTACACTTATTATTACTACCCTATTACTATTACTACCCTATTATTATTACCACCCTATACCACCCTACTACCACTACCACTACACTCTTCTAAGTATTCCTGTATTCTTTGCCTATTCTCACTATTCTTTTCATTATTCTTCCCATTATTCTTCCCAATACTCCTTCTCAAGTATTCCTGGTAGCATTCAACCGTGTTACTCAAATCATTCATCTTCTTGTACATCTCAGCCAGGTAGAGAAGAGCATCGTAGTCAGCCTCACCACACTCGTGCAATGCAGCACGAAAGTGCTCTATCGCTGTCTCGTACATGTTGTACTTGAAGTAGATGCGACCAAGCAGCTTATTCGAGTTCGATAGGACGCAGCAGGAGACGCCCTTGGCTCCGCCATCGGCAACTCGGCCAAGAACGAAGAGGGCGTGCTCGTACTCCCTCACGTCGTAGAGGATGCTGCCCATCGAATAGAAATATTTCGAGCAGTTCAACGAGTAGGCGGCATTGACGTGGAAGACGGCGCGAGACCGGTGCTCAGGCGCCTCCTCCCTCGCGAAGAGGCGCGAGCAGAGGCGAGCAACGGCAACGTGGAGCGCAGCGAGCAGCAGCGGCCGCTCGAGGCAGTCGCCGACTCGGCCGATGACGCGTCGGAAGATGCGGGCAGCCGCCTTCTCGTTCCGCTCCACGGCCGCGGCCGCGCCGTGGAGCAGCAGCGCCCTCAGCTCCCTCATTTCGGCGTCCTCGGGAATCGCCTCCAAAATGGCAGCAATTTCGCTCTTTGGCAGCGACCGTCTCACGATTTCAATGGCGCCGATGACGGCGCCAAGGAACGTTCTGCTCCGACGGAGCAGCAGATCGGCCGTGCCACGGCCGATGAAGTGCTCGAAGACCGCAAACTCCTCCTCGTCGAGGACGAGCTCAGGGCGGATCGGAATCCGCTGAGTCGCCTGCCCGTGGATCGAGAGCACGAAGTGGCCGTGCTGGCGCAGGTGGCCGTTTTCGANCGACCGTCTCACGATTTCAATGGCGCCGATGACGGCGCCAAGGAACGTTCTGCTCCGACGGAGCAGCAGATCGGCCGTGCCACGGCCGATGAAGTGCTCGAAGACCGCAAACTCCTCCTCGTCGAGGACGAGCTCAGGGCGGATCGGAATCCGCTGAGTCGCCTGCCCGTGGATCGAGAGCACGAAGTGGCCGTGCTGGCGCAGGTGGCCGTTTTCGATTCGATCGACGTCCAGGACGCCCCTGTTCGCAACCAGGAGCGCAATTCCACAGTCGAGGGCCTCCCTGAATTCAGGCAGCTCCCTTAGTATCGCATAGACGCATTCAGCTATTTTGTTCGTCTCAGCTATTTTGTTTGTTTTGTTTCTGCGCATGGAGCATAGGTAAAGATAGAGACCAAATGCCTCCTTCTTGTTTCCTGCCTTTTCTTCCAGTTCGTATTCAGCCCCTCTGGCAATCTCAGCCTGCTTTCTGGCGTATTCCACCACGTACTCTCGTCCTCCTTCTTCCTCTCCTTCGGTCTCCCTTGCTTCTAGCACTTTCTCAGCCATTTCTACCTCTCCTACTCTTGTGTAATGCCTAGCAACTGCTGCCATTCTCACTACTCCCATTTCACCAGCTCTTCCTTCTTGTAGCCACCTTTTCAGTCCTGTTTTCAGTATCAGATCCACTGATTCCATACAGTCTAAGTCTATGAACCAGCACATGTTCACGAGGAGTCTTCTTGTTTCCTCACTTGATACCATGGGTGGAAGGGTAGAGTGGTAGTTAGGGTGGATGGTAGTTAGGGTAGTAATAAGAATGACCTTAGTAAGAACTACCTTAGTAAGAATATCCTATTATTCACCCTACTAAACTACCCTACTAAGAATGATCTTAATAAACTACCCTGATATTCCACCCTCTTAGAATTATTCCAATAAGAACTACCCTACTAAACTACTCTAGTAGAATAGTCATAGTAGATTACCTTAACAAGAATATTCCACCCTATTAAGAATGATCAATGTAATCTACCCTAGTAAGAACGATCTTAGTAAACTACTTTACCATACCTACCCTATTAAGAATGATCAATGTAATCTACCCTAGAGAGAATGATTGTTGGATGTACTGTTTATTGAAGATTCCGGTTCCATTCTTGGGGTTCTCAAAATGTCGCTTCTTTTATAGTCAGTGATTGATAGTGTTGTGTTCAGCTGCTGAGCCATCTTGCTCTTGTGCCTGAATACTCTTTTTAGTTGCAACCATTTACTTGATAAGGGGTTCTGATGAACCCTTCTATTTATACCTGTTGTTTGTCTATAAACAATTAACATATCAATCACATATTGTTTTGATCCTTGACAGGTTGATGTGATAGAGTCCTGGTATCAGGCTCACACAACAGATAGGAGTGACACACTTAGTGATCTTACGA